TCGATGTATGAAACTCCGCCAAGTAAATTAAAGGCCATTTATTATTNCACGGAATAATTTATTTTTTCATGTTATACAAAATGTATGAATGAACCCTGAAATACGTTCAAAAGTTTCTGAAATGATATTTCCTAACTATAATTTTATATCACCATGTTCAACTCGCTGAAGTTTTTGCTCCTTCAGAATTTCATAATAGAAAGAGAATGTGCATGATGGTTTTTTTTGAGCTAATTCCCAATTCTTTTAATTTTCATTTGAACATATTCCATTTTGATAAATTGAATACGATATTCCATTTTGATAAATTGAATACGATATAAATTGTTACGATATTCGTTCGAGTTTGAAGGCCGTCGTGGTTTGGAACTGTATCCTAACGCTTCGCCAGCACGAGTGGCTGGCTTCTTCAGAGGTCTATTCATCCTGATGGTTCACCGATGACTCGTAATTTCTAGTTCGTAAGCTGTACTTATGTTGACACAGGTAGCCCGCCTTTCTAATTGGTTATTGGTCGAAGTGTTATTACCTGTTACATTGCGTTGCACTGCTGCCACCTTAGCATCTTTAAGTATGGGATTCCAAATTCGGTTGAGCGTTAACGCCTCCTCTTCTCTGTTGAAAATTTATATGTGTTTGTAGATTTATATGGCTTCACGTACAAGCCGTCTGTGGTATCCATGATCGGGTGCAAGCAGTTCCACATTTTCAAACAGTATCGTTTGATCTCCTTCACTAAGCGCGTGTTCCGCTACTGCAGATTTTTCTATTTGACGTAATTCACAGTTTATCCGATGTTCATTCAGCCTTGTACCCATGGATTTTTTGGTGATACCGATATAAACTTTTCCGCAGGTGCATGGTATACGATATACCCCCGCAGCTGATAGTGGATCTCTTTTGTCTTTCGCAGATCTCAGGCTTTGCTGTATTTTCCTGGTGGGCTTGAACACTGTTTTTATGTTACGTTTCCTTAGGCTTTTTTCGATTCTATCTGTAACCCTAGGGATGAACGGTAGAAACGCATGCGCAACCGTTTCAGTTTCCTCCCTATTTTGACTTGTAGACGTCTTCAGTTTCATGGCCTTGTTGATGACGGTTACACTATATCCATTCGATCTTAAAGCCACTTGAAAATGTTACAATTCTTTTTGTAGGTGTATCGGTTTACATATTCTACGGGCACGTTCCGTCAGGGTATTGATAATTCCCCGGTTTTGACTTGGATGATGGTCCCAAGTCCATGCAGACATCTGTCCGTTTGGCTCGGTTTTCGGTACACTTTATGTGTCAGTCTTGTGCCACGCGTGGCACAAGATATCATCGTGACGTGACGTGACGTGACGTGACGATATCATCCAAAAAAGGTAGTATTGGTTGCACAAAAGCAAAGAAAAACAGACTTCAAAATGTGACAATTTTTATCAATCGTTCAAATCGAGGGGGGGCACTTCCTCATCTTTTTGACCCCATTAGACTGACGACTAGTTCTTCCGCCATCCCACACACCATTTATAATGGTTCAGTCTACATCATGATTCTGGTTTACAGTTGATACGACCACTTCAGGGCTAATCTTTGAAATTGAAATCTCTGGAGCAAAATTCGAACAGTGCGTTCATCAACACAGGCCAAATGCCTGTTTTCGGTCTATTTTGACAGCGCGTTGGTTCCATTTGAATCCGTGTAAAAATTTGTCCGAAAATCTTTCAACGACATCACATAGTAATGAGCTGAAAAGACACAAAAAATCGAAATTTGGAGAACCGAACACCAAATGTATACGATACAAAATTCTCTAATGATCAGTCAAGGGGTCTGCTTGATCTAAGCAATTACTGATACATCAATTCGATTCTGCAAGCCTAGATTGCATGTCTACAACTCACTTAACACCCTGATCGAAAATATTTAGTCGAACGGGAAAAGGAAATCCATTCCGGTTATAGTTGAAATGTGTCATTTTGTGAAGCAATTCGATAACTAACCTTCCTTCATTAAGACGAAAGACAGAAGAGTAGATGAAAATACCAAGAATGGCGGAGCAGTCATCGTCAACACTGGCATCTCTTTCGGTCCGACGTGGATTCATAAAATACGAAAGAGTTTCTAAGTATTTTGTTGGACTCAATGATGGAATGTTTGAATTAATGGAATTGGTTGCAGTTTACACTGGAGATGGGTGTTACTGGAGTTTCTTCTCAACATCGAACCGTTATTTCAACAGCTTGACACGTGTTTCGATCACCAAGTGATCATCTCCAAGAGGAAGATCAAACCATTCGATCTTCCTCTTGAAAATGATCACTTGGTGATCACCTCGAGGTGTTAAAATAGGATCAAAAAAACCACAAGGGTTGACTTTACCAGTATACCGATGAGCCCAAATGAAGTCGATCATTTATCGTGCCGGAGACGACATTACTGAGAATATCCAGTTTTTCTCCGCACTGTCACTCAAGACTATCAGGGAAACGCTTAAGGTGCTCGTCTTCAAGGACAGTTAAGAGGGGATGACTTCTTCGAGAACTAACGAGCAGGTCAAAGCGTGGGAACGAATAATGCTCTGCAAACTTTCCGTTATCCTCATATTGCATCCGAAGTTCTTTGAAGACAGCCACGATGGTTGCACAGTTTTCAAAAGAAGAATAGTACAAACTATCAGACGTCATTCACCACCACGGCAAAAATGCCAACATGGGACACTACGTGACCAATACCTAACACGTCGGCTACAACTGCTGGTAAAGGTACGACGATTTTTCGGTCAATACCGTGCAGAAATAATACGTGTTGAAGCCCCAGAAAACGCAAGTCCCCCGTTGCTGTTCTACAGGCTGAGCAATCCGATCTTAATAACGTCTCCTAGTGAAATAATGTTGCTGCGGTTACGTGAGCTTCAGCTTCTGGGATCGTACGGAATGTCTCTATCATAAAGTTTTCATTACATTTAATTTTTGTCAGTTGAATTAGATATTCCATTCATCTATGTTATTGTGATGTAACTCGTTTTCAACGTACATTTGTGATAGTATTCAAAAAGAGAGTTTACTAGTTTGAGCGACACATTCGCTATGGTAGAATTTCTAAAACGTTATCATTATTCTGAAAATGAATCACTTTTCCATCAGTATCTAGTGGAAAGGCTTCGCGACAAAGGGTCTGTAGCAACTGATGTGATCGAGGATTAACTAGACTATGAGCGCCATCTGAACGATAATTATATAAGAAATCGTTACGTTTACTAAGAGTGGGGTCCGCGTGGACCCCGCCAGCACATGTTAAGGGTTAAGACAAAAGACAGAAGAGTAGACAAAAATGCCAAGAATGGCAAAGCAGTTATCGTCAACACTGGCATCTCTTTCGGTCCGACGTGGATTCATAAAATACGGAAGAGTTTCTGAGTGTTCTGTTGCACCCAATGATGGAATGTTTGAACTAATGGAGTTGGTTGCATTTTACACCGAAGATGTGTATCACTGGTATTATTGGAGTTTCTTCTCATCATCAAACCGTTATTCCAACAGCATGACACGTGTTCCAATCACCAAGTGATCATCTTCAAGAGGAAGATCAAACTGTTCGATCTTCCTCTTGAAAATGATCACTGGGTGATCACCTCGAGGTGTTAAAATAACCGTACGGTATTACCACACCAAAGGTTCCAAACAGTGCATCACTAGTACATAATTTCTGGGTAGTGATTCAAGTAAATGATAGAACGTAACAGGATCAAAAAATTAAAGGATATCTTACCACAAGGGTTGACTTTACCAGTATATCGATGAGCGCAACTGAAGTCGATCATTTATCGTGTTGGAGAGGACATTACTGAGAATATCCAGTTTTTCTTCGCACTGTCACCCAAAAATGAGGAAGTAAAGACTGTCAGAGAAACACTCAAGGTGCTCGTCTTCAAGGACAGTTAAGAGGGGCTAACTTCTTCGAAAATTAACGAGCAGGTCAAAGCGTGGGAACGAATAATGCTCTACAAACTTTCCGTTATCCTCATATTGCATCCGAAGTTCTTTGAAGACAGCCACGATGGTTGCACAGTCTTCAAAAGAAGAACAGTACAAACTATCAGACGTCATTTACCACCACGGCAAAAATGCCAACATGGGACACTACGTGACCAATACCTAACACGTCGGCTACAACTGCTGGTAAAGGTACGACGATTTTTCGGTCAATACCGTGCAGAAATAATACGTGTTGAAGCCCCAGAAAACGCAAGTCTCCAGTTGCTGTTCTACAGGCTGAGCAATCCGATCTTAATAACGTCTCCTAGTGAAATAATGTTGCTGCGGTTACGTGAGCTTCAGCTTCTGGGATCGTACGGAATGTCTCTATTATTGAGTTTTCATTACATTTAATTTTTGTCGGTTGAATTAGATATTCCATTCCTCTATGTTGTTGTGATGTAACTCGTTTTCAATGTACATTTGTGATAGTATTCAAAAAGAGAGTTTACTAGTTTGAGCGACACATTCGCTATGGTAGAATTTCTAAAACGTTATCATTATTCTGAAAATGAATCACTTTTCCATCAGTATCTAGTGGAAAGGCTGCAATTTCACTGGAATGTTCGATATAAGACCTTCTGTTGAGGCGAAATTGTGACTTTCAAATGAACACAGTCTCTAAGAGTCATTTTGGCCAATTGAAAGGATTCCAGTTGAACTATAGTCCAACTCATGACCTTCTTTGGAAACATGATTGCTGAGAGCACATCTCTCAGGATGTAGTCTATTATCACTTTCATGAAGTACAATCTGGTCTTCAAATAGTCTTGACGTTTGATCAATATATTCACTTCTTCAAATATAGCAGAAGATTGAATGAAAAGATTTTTGTTGTTTTATAAGAGGAGTTTCATATTTAGGTTTCGAAAACCATTTGTTGATAATTGGAAGGGTTCTGAGAGCTATTTTGATTTTTGACGACCCCAATTCCTCAACAGAGTAGAAAATTAACTATGATATATTCCCGTAGTGTCAAAAAGAATATATGTTTTTTCAGGTATGTACGAAACGGCCACCAGTCATGAGATTTTTCATCTCGACACATTGATGTCCCTTGGACCACTTGGAAATAGTCTGCTCTTCGTGGGATCCTCAGTGAAAGTTTGCGACTTCTTGTCTAACACTAAGGGTTTCAGAAAACTTCTGAACTACCCGAATGACTTCAAAGTTGACCTGATCATCATCAACTTGACTCTAGAAACGTGTCTGCTTCCTCTGATCCAGAAATTCAACTACCCTCCCACAATAGCAAGTACTTCGTATGGACTACCTTCTTTTCTGTCTGAAAAATTTGGAAGTGGGCCATATCCGTCGTTTGTTCCGTTTCATGCCTTGAGACTATCGGATGATATGGCATTTCTGGAACGGTTGCAAAATTATTTCTGGACAAGGTTCGAAACATTAATGAGGACTTATCTGTCCACTCCTAGTGTTGAGCAAATTGCCAGGAATTTGTATGGAGCAGGGATGGACTCCTACGACAATCTACTGAGACATATTTCGCTTGTTTTGTGTAACTTGATACCAGGGTTCCACTACTCAAGACCAATCTCTCCCAATATAATAACAGCTGGAGGTCTTCACGTTCAATTGAATGCCACACTTCCAAAAGTGAGTTTATCAGATAACTATGCCACAGTATTCATTAAACTGATTGATTCACAGATTCATGAGATGATAAAAGATCAGATTTTAAAATTTGATCAAAAGTAATGCGCTGCCCAGTCCGTTGAGGTGAAATTAATAATCAATCTGTGAAAAATAATCAAGTGGAACCGACTCGGTACTACAATCTGGCCATCCTTCAGTACTCAATCCAAATTCGATCCAATTCAAACAAATTTTGTCTGAAAAAACTTTCAGTCCTGCTGCAGCTCGTTTTCGTTCGTATCTTAAACTAAATCTTTCTCAAAAATTCCAAACATAAATCACCGTTTTCAATGGTATCGAAAACCAGTCCAATCGTCAATTATTTCTTTTCAAACATTTACTTCTCTTGAATATTGAATACGTGCTTTGATCAACTAATTGATATATTTTCTACTTCGTTAACGATAGCTCTGTCTGTTGACTACTCTATTTAAACAGAAAGTGAATTTGTCAGAGAAACGAAGTTTCTCGCGTATGTTTCTTCTGTTATTTCACAGCATAGGTAACAATTGTTACCTATGCTGTGATCGCGATCAAGGATACGAGGTCCGGCTATTGAATAACGAGACTTTGCGCCTAGAGGAGCGGGGAAAAAACGAATAGTACGTTGGGTATCTGGAAATCTCTTTTAATAACGTACCAAAACACGTTTTCGTATTTGTGCGGAAGTAGTTTGAAACGAACCTGTTTTTTTCACGACGACAAACAAAAGTTACGTAACAATCTCAAATTTCTCGTTAAATTGGAAAAAACTCCAATGAAATTCTATGAATTGTTGCAAGAGGCCTATGGGGACAATTCCCTATCTCCTGCGCGTGTTTTTGAGTGGTGTAAGCGTTTCAGTGAGGGCCGAGAGAGCAAGGATGTCCAAATCAAAATTCAAGGAAATGTTGATCATTTTGTCGACATTAACGGTATCGTGATGACTGAATGGGTTCCAGACTTACTATTTGTCAGTTTTGGCAACACTGCGAGAACGAGTTCGTAAGAAACGGTCCGAGTTGTGGAAGAACAACTCATGGATTCTGCACCAGGATAACGCACTTGCCCATAACGCGATATCTGTGAACCGGTATTTGGCCGATAAACGCACTCTGGTACTCGAACACGCACCATACACGCCAGATTTTGCACCGTGTGACTTTTTTTTGTTTCCTGAGATAAAATCTGCTTTGAAAGGGACTCGATTTGAGTCGATGAAAGAGGTATAGCAAAAAACGGCAGAGCTTCTGAAGGACCTCACCAAAGAAAACGTATGGGAAGGTGTGAAATGTAAAATAATGGTCATAGTAAATTCCTTTTCCGTAACCAGTCTCGTTATTTGTTAGCCGGACCTCGTATCCTTTTATCATATGTGACGGAAACTATTTTTAAAACACGCAATACTGGACTGAATTGGATCTACATATCGAAGTGAACTGCCAAACAAATACTGAATAACGCAGCGTCTTCAAACTTGAAACAGATGCTTCATAGATTATGACCTTTCTGATACCGCGATATTTTTTGAAAAATATATCGCCATCTCCAGGTTAGGCCGGGTAATTCTGGGACATCCGAGGTACTTTCCACAGTATTGAGAACAACAATAATGATAGAGTTTATGAAAAGTATGTTGAGTGGAATTCATTATAACATAGCTTTGAAAAATAATTTTATTGAATTCGAAACGTTGGCAAAAATAAAACTGATTAATCTGCATCACAAGGCTATTGAACATATCGAATGTTATGTTTACCACATCATACGAGGTTATTGCAGTCATCTGTCTCTCAATCTCTCTCTGATAGTGAATATGCGTCAGGTCTTCACAAGTTATTTTTCACCCCACAACTTTCAAGCGGAAATGAATAAACAATCTCATGAAGACTGAATTTAGGATCTCCAAGAAATCATGGATACTGCAGAACATGGTGTCATCCTCGTGAGTTTTGGATCGAATGTAAGATCTGCTTCGATGGGGTCGGAAAAAATAAAAGCCATATCGAATGCTTTAAGTCAGCTGAAGGAGACAGTGATATGGAAATTTGAAAGTGAGCTTGACAATCTACCCAAAAACATCTTCATTCGGAAATGGTTACCACAAATGGCAATTTTAGGTGAGTATAACTGTTTCAGTTGTACACAATAGTTTAGAATTTCACTATTAGACGTTCTGTATCAAAACCTTACACGATGGATCTCTTCTCCAAGTGAAAAACAGTGACAAAACAGTTAACGTCTGATCAGAGCTTCCATTGGATGATAGGCAATTGTTTATTGTTGCTTACGCCTGTAGAAACTCGACCAAACAATTTCAGCTTCTCAATTTAGCTGATTGACCCTTTTGGTCAGTGATGTTTCAGGTCATATAACTAGAATGACTTTCTGTCAAACTCTGAATGAATTCAATTCAATTCAATTCAATTCAATATGGTTCAATTTGCTATTCCATCATGTTCCAACAGAAAACAACTTATTACCATGTATTGGTTGGTAGAACAAACTTCGGAGGATCCAGAACCAATCCTGGTGGATTATGCCAGAAGTCTCAAGTTTGTTCAGCCGTCCATGTGTTGAGTGTCCATTTGGCAATGCCAAAAGCGACGCCAATGACTTCTTGTGTCCGATAAAACCGCTTTGAGTCTCCTTCCTTGCAAGGCAGCGAGCAGCTTCATTATTTTCTAGGCCAGTGTGACCAGGGACCAATGCCAGATAGAATTATTTGGGTCTATCTATTGGGAGTTCATTATCAATTCAGACGTTACTCGGCAGAAGCCAAGTGCTCCAAAAGCTGTTTGGCAGACCGGAATTATTTTCATTGAATGGTGTTCTAGATTGGTTCCTACCAGAAGAGTAGATTTCCGCTTAAACTATGATCGCAAGGATTCATGGAGACGTAGATATCTTTCCTGGGTCTACGACTGGGATACAAACAAGAGTAGACATCCAAATTGGGCAATTGTTTACTATCGCTATCGTTTGAAACTTCAATGTTGTATATTATGAAATATTCCAAACTACACGAATAGTTATTTTCACAACGAATGAACTATGGATATTTGTCATCTCATATAAATTTCAACCTCAGAGACCCAAAACAGCAACAAATTTCTTTCCAAAATTGCTGAATTTTGACCAAAAAGACTGCGATCCAGTTTGCTTGGAGGGGTGAAACCTGGTGACTAATCATGGAACTGATATCGAAACCAAAGTGCGAACGCTCCAATTTAAGAGACCAGAAGAGCCAAGACCAAAAATTACGCCAAATTCAATCAAATGTCAAGGTTTTGCTTTCTGTTTTGTTCGAGGATGGAAAGCGTTTGAAGAAAGACCAAGTAAAGTAAACATCCAGAGATCCAAGGAGATCTGAAAGAGTATAGAAGGTCTGAAGAATACACAATGCAACAAATGTTTCATTTCTAGTTGATCATATTTCAGTTTTCCATGATGTTTTTCCAAATAACTGATCAGCATGATCTCAATACTTCCTGCAGGTTTCAGGATTTTCTTGCAAAGCCATCAATCATCTGATAGTAGTTATATACAAATACATAAAGTCAGTCTTGTTGTAGCTCATCCGAACTTGAAACTTTTTGTCGGACATGGCGGTGGAATGAGCACTACAGAAACGGTATTCTTTGGTGTACCACTTTTGGGGATGCCTTTCATGATGGATCAACTGTCTAACATGGACTTGGTGGAAGATCGAGGGATTGGACGTAAAATTGACTTCCGTTTATTGACAACCAACTACTTATTGGAGAACATCAGAGAAATGTTGGATGATCCAAAGTAAGTATTCATAATAAGAAGAGATGAAGAAGAAATGTTTTTGTTTCCGAAAGCATGAGTTATATGCGCCTGTTTAACCTTCTGAAACCGTTTTTTCATATAAAGCGGACTTTAACTCTCATGTAATCATAGAATCAGAGTAGTCAAGTATCAAAATCGTTCTCCTAACAGATATCATCTCGAATATTATCACTTTGTTTTCAAGAGGCTCAAAAAAGAATATTTCATGTAAAAAAGTACTTACTTCCTCAGGGTGTAGGTTAAAGCTGAATACTAATGTTGTTCAACAAATTATCCGATGTTTTCGAGTTCATTAACCGTGGTCTGCTAGTTTATCCACCTGACCTTTTGTCTGCTACTGCGGCAGACATACCCTCTATGTAACATAACTGTTGTAGGAACAGTTTTGGCATCAGTATTTCCCAAATTAACAAGGAATAGTCAATAGTTATTCAGTTGACATAACAGTACAAACATCCAATTTTGTTCTATTTGAAAATTGTTGAGGTTTTGGGCTGTTCGATATGTTTTGACACTAAAAATTTCATTTTCTCTTTCACAGATATTTCCATACAGCGAAGAAATACTCCAGAATAGCAAGAGATCAGCCTCAGAAGCCTCTTGACTTGGCAACATTTTGGGCCGAGTTTGCCATGAGACATAACGGAACACATTTTTTGAATCCCCAATCAAGATATCAATCGCTGTTTGTGTCTTCCTCCACAGATGTTTATTTGTTTTTGCTGTTTGTCATTTCAGTCATTTTGTTTGTCTCATTTAAANATCCTATCCTATCCTATCCTATCCTATCCTATCCTATCCTATCCTATCCTATCCTATCCTATCCTATCCTATCCTATCCTATCCTATCCTATCCTATCCTATCCTATCCTATCCTATCCTATCCTATCCTATCCTATCCTATCCTATCCTATCCTATCCTATCCTATCCTATCCTATCCTATCCTATCCTATCCTATCCTATCCTATCCTATCCTATCCTATCCTATCCTATCCTATCTTATCCTATCCTATCCTATCCTATCCTATCCTATCCTATCCTGCAATTATGTAGCAGGAAAAAAGTGGCAACGTGGAAGTGCAATCTATTTTCGAATCCTTCGAAAAATAAAGTCAGAAAAAAATGAGAACCATTTTCCGAAATTTCTGTTTCTCCGGATATACTCGGAATTTCAGAAGTAAGTGCGCAACTGCGCCCCAATTGAACCATCTTCGTATCTCTCATAGTTTCCGAGATCCCAATGTTGAGGATCGAATTTGAAACACCCTGTATACGTTGTAGAACTCATGTGAAATCATGAAAATAATCAAATTTTACTTTCCATTCATGTCTGCAGTTTTCCAGCCATTACTATAAAACATGATTGGGGTTTTGGAGTTGACTCAGAGCCTTGTTCAATCCAATTCGAAGTAGAAATGTGATTGAACTGAAACACCTCCGAACAATTTCATTTGAAAAATATCCCACGAGGCAAACTTCCCAATTGTCATCTTTTGAATGATTCAAATATATGTTCATCATTGTTTCAAACACAAGAATGAAAAATATTCACCAGAACGGAACGTCAACTCTGTCAAAGGGAATTATACCTACCACGTTATATAATTTTTTTCAATAATATCATTTATATATTATGTCACTTCAATTTTTAATTTTCATCAATGTCGGTGCACGAATGAAATTAACGTAGCTCACTATGACGCTACATAGCACATATAGACCCATACTTGGAAAATCAAAGCACGAAATCACAGAAATTGGGTTTCCTTCAGTTTGATATTTCACTCGAAATGGATTTCCAGATACGCCACTGTTCTGATAATAATCGGCTACGAATTGACTCAATGATAAATAGTAAAACTAATCACTCATATGAAATGATAAAGGAGTGGAAAAAATGTTCTTTAAATAGAGTAATGATACTCTGTTTCATAACTTTTCTATATTTTGAAGAAATATGAAATCAGTTTCATGCATCACACCAAAGGTATGCAAAAGTAGGCATTCATTTTAGTTATCTATCAAATAAACTTCATGTGTGGAGTTAGAATCACTTCTATTCTATTCATCCCTGGTCATGTTATTGAAGAGGTTGCCAATGTGATTTCTGAGCCTTTGACTCATATAGTTTACTCCACTTTAATTGAGGGGAGGTTTCCTGATATAGTAAAAATGTCAAAGGTTTTGCCAATATACAAAAATGAGGGGTCTCGATCTGACTGTGCATCTTACAGGCCTATATCGCTACTTAGTCAGTTTTCTAAGATTAATGAATACTGTTTCTATCAAAGATTATATGATTATTTTGAATCATTCAGATTATTTTCTTCTGGTCAGAAAGCTTATAGAAGGAATATATCTACAGTTGGTTCAAAAACTTCCATTACTGTTATTTTTGTGGACGATACTAACATCTCAGTATCTGCGGGATATCCGAAGTAATTGAAAAAGCTACTGAAGTAACTGATCAAATGGACTGCTGCTAAATTCTGCTAAATCTCAAAAAATTGATAAAAGCTATTTGGTTAGATTGATTGATTCACATGAAGTTAATTATACTAAATTTTTAGGTGTTGATACCGATAATAAACTTACCTGGAAGTTCCATATTACTGTCAAACTAAAGCTCAGTAAACATATATATTTACTTCGTCGGTTGAAACAAACAATCTCTCTTGATGTTCTCTAGCTTTTATACCACAGTTCAATTCAGTCAGTAATTTCCTATGGTCTTGAACAGTGGGGCTTATTAGCTAAAGCTGATGAAGATTTTGTTATTCAGAAAAAGGTAATCAGCATTCTGGCTGGTGCATCTTCAAGTGAATACTGCAGGCCATTATTGATTGTTACCTTACTCACATTACACAACACAACAAAAAAATATTTTTTGAATGTTTCCTACACTAAACTAGTCAATTTCTACTAATTTTGGGGTGATAAAAACGAAAATAACAATGAAAAATTTTTATTAACTCTGGTTTTTGAGATACACAGTACTTAATCTTAAATGCTTTTATACCACAGTTTAATTCAGTCAGTAATTTCCTATGGTCTTGAACAGTGGGGCTTATTAGCTAAAGCTGATGAAGTTTTTGTTATTCAAAAAAAGGTAATCAGCATTCTGGCTGGTGCGTCTTCAAGTGAACACTGCAGGCCATTATTGATTGTTACCTAACTCATATTATCAATTACTGCCTGGAAAAAGCTCATTTTCCCAAAGTATGGAAAGAAGCCCATTTTCCCAAAGTATGGAAAGAAGCCATTGTTAAACCGCTACCCAAATTGAAGAATCCGCTTACTCTCTCAGATCTACTTCCGATAAGTATCTTATCAGCCGTTTCTAAAATTCTTGAAAGAGCTGTCCACACTCAACTAACCGCCTTTGTTATATCCGAAAACATTCTTCCAGACTACCAGGCACGGTTTCCAAAGGGGTATAGTACTATTACTGCTCTACTTAATGTTGGTGATAGTATTATAGCCAATATTGATGAAAAAAAGTCACCAGCATTATTAGGTTTTTCTAAGGCGTTTGATACCATTAGCCACAAACTCCTTCTTTCCAAGCTCAAATACTATGGATGTTCAACTGATGTCATAAAATTTTCCAGTTATTATTTGAACAAGAGATATCAAAAGGTACTTGTTGATGATAGAAGTTCATCTCTTGAAAGAGTTAGATCAGGAGTACCTCAAGGCTCAATTCTTGGTCCTATCCTATTTTTGCTATACACCGCAGATATTTTTTCACAAATTAAGCATTGTCAGGTACAAGCATTTGCGGATTACACCCAGTTATATCATAGTATCGAACCTAAAAACATCTTAGTATCCCAAAATCAAATAAATGATGACCTTGAAGTCATAAAAACTCTGTCGAGCAAACACAGTTTGAATCTGAATCCTAGCAAATGCCATATCATGTTCTTCGGCAACATAAACCAAAGACAATATGCTAAAGATCATATGGAACTCAAGATAGGGAACCAAATACTTAAATCGGTTGACTCTGCAAAAAACTTGGGAATCACTTTCGATCAAGATTTAAAATTTAACGCACATAGAAAACAGCTGATGATCAAATCCTATGCCACTCGCGAAGTTCTTCATCCATATAGACAGAGCTTGTTCTTCAGCACAAAAAAGCTACTTTCACAATCGCTTATCCTTTCGAAAATCAACTGTGGAGGCCCTTTCTATGGCCCCTTCTTGAATTCAGCTAATCAATACAAAATACAACGTGTGCGAAAGTTTTTGTGTTCGCTTCATTTTGGGAATACGTACATCTGAACATATTTTCCAAGCTCGTGCCAACCTTGGTTGGGTATCAATGTCGGTTCTCAGGGAATATAACTACTGCAATATCACCTATTCAGTACTGAAATTTATAGTACCTGTTAGTTTCTCTATTCAATAAATTGACAAAGAGGTTAGAGCTCCATACTTCCAACCTTCGAACTAATGAAAACTTACTCATCCCTCGTCATTCGTCAGCCATGTTCAGAAAATAATTTTCCTTCCTTGCTGTATTTTTTCATAATACGATTACTGAGGATCTCATGCAATTCCCGAAATCCACATTCAAAAACAAACTGAAAGAAAAATTCAATGAGTGATCAGAAGAATTAAATGCATACATCAAACAATGATCTTGTTGAACATTTCACCAGAAATAATTCTCAACTACATCAACCTCATAGTAAATTGACAGTATCAAAGAATCACCCCATGTGCATAGTGAGGACATTGAATCCTCAAATATTATTATCTTTGAATGGCGACTCAAGATTTTTCTATTGCAAAAGGCATACTACTCTGTGCATGAGTTTCTCCTTGAATCTTGATTTGATTGTAGCTTATTAACTTGTATGTTTCATTTGTGATGCACTGTTTGGAACCTATGGTGTAGTAATGAATATTACTGGAGTTTTTTCTCAACACCAAATCGTTATTTTTAACACCTCGACACGTATTTCGATCACCAAGTGATCATCTTCAAGAGCAACATCTTCCTCCAAACCGATATNTTTGCAATATCCCAAACAACGATTTGGTGTTGGGAAAAAACTCCAGTATTATTCATGTATGTTTTATGTTCAACATTGACTTTTTTATGTGTGTTTGACCTGTTGAGTCAGCCAGTATTTTATGATTATGTGTTTTTTTATCTAATGTAATTGTGAAGGAAAACTAATTCACTAAATGGTTGACTGATCGATTGATTGATTCTTTGATCATCAAAGAACTAACGTATGGAAAATCACCTATTTTGAAACTTTCCAATCACTTCAACTTCTACGTGGTAACTTATTTTCTATCATTCCCATTGAAAATATACAATTTCCATCCGAAACCAACTGCCGCTGCCCCCATAAATAAGCCGGTTGTTATTTGGAAATCCTTCCCAAATATAGACCCATTTAGCCCGATAATGACGACGAGAAGAAAAGACGGGAAATAAAGCGACAAGCCTGGATGCGGGATGCGGTAAATAAAGTTTTCCCGACCCGTCGTCTCCACACACCGGAAGTCGTCTATTCAGATGAACGGTGGAAGGAGCTCATCTCTTTGGCTCGCAAGAAATGATAGGTATCTATATATTTTCGGGATTTCGCAAATAGTGTTTTTCGATTTCCTACTTTTCGGGAGGGCTGGAACACTCCACTCGCTACCAGCCGAATAAGGAGTTTAGCCGGGAATGCACGTCTATTATTTATGTTCGAGAGTTTTTGTTTAGAGGAGAGGCTAGCGTGA